ATTGATTGGTTGCCTCCTGCAGGAGGGAGGAGCCTGCAACTGAGGTACATGCCCTTGACTGGAATTGAACCTGGGCCCCTTTGGTCCGAAGGCCAACACTCTTATCTACTGAGCCAAACAGGCTGGGGCTGGGTTTCTTTAGCTCAGTTTCCCATCAGTTCAACAGACATCGCACGAATGAACCCTTATTAGAATGGCCTCAGTGCTGAAGCTGAAAGATGAAAAGACATCATTTGTTGCTAGATGTTTTTATCTGTAGTTTAAGCTAGAAGTGAAGTAAGGCAAAAAATAAAAGATCCCCAAAAGTTTTCACAAAGGAGGTATGCTGAAGTACACATCCAAAAGAAATGTGGAGGTGGGGAAGAGAACACTACCTGCTAATTGTTTTCTGAAGCTTATTTATGGAACACCTCACAGTGGCAGTTGCTATGGCAAACATATATTATAGTATATGACGTTCAGCCAGGAGGGTTTCTTAGGAAGATCTTTGGTCAGGAACTGTATTGTTATAAAAAGAAAGTAGGGAATATTTTATTTTAAATTGGTCCAATCTTTAAAAATAGGATAGCCCTGACCGGTTTGGCTCAGTGGATAGAGTGTTGGCCTGAGGACTAAAGGGTCCCAGGTTCGATTCTGGTCAAGGGCATGTACCTTGGTTGCGGGTACATCCCCAGTAGGGGGTGTGCAGGAGGCAGCTGATCGATGTTTCTCTCTCATCGATGTTTCTAACTCTCTATCCTTATCCCTTCCTCTCTGTAAAAAAATCAATAAAATATAAAAAAATAAAAATAGGAATATTCATATATGTCAATGATAACTCAATAAAAAAGATATAAGAAAGTATTCAGAATAAAGATTTATTATTAACTGCCCCCCCAAATAAGAAATAGACATACTCTATGCTTAACAGTATATCATGTTTATTTCTGTGTTATGCAGCTTATTGCTATAACATTAGAGTGAAATGTCTGGAATCTGAAGTTACTACTCTAGAGTTTTTCAGTGAAATGAGAATGAGGTATGTTTCATAGTTGATCTGATGACTAGTGATTGTCCAGGATCAAGTGGCTGTTCAGGATAAGAGAAAGGTCAGAAAACATACTTCAGAAAAAACAACAAAAGTAAGTCAGAATAACAAAGCAGGGTTTAGTTGTGAAAGGGATATGGTATAGGGAAGCAAGAGAACAGATTGTGCTAGAGAGAGACACAGAAAGACAGAGACAGACAGTGGGGAATAGATTCCTAATGAAATGTAATGTGTGCTGTTCCCTGGACTGTCTTCCTGCTCCAGGACTTCTTTCCATTAGAAATTTAGAGGATGTCGTCTTTTCTGACACATTTCTTTGAGGACAGTGAAGGAAGGCATGCAGTTGAGTCCCCAAGGACCTTGTTTTTGAGAGGAACACTGTAATAGCCTCTGGCATTTAGCACAGAATAGAATTGTGCTTTTTGAATGAGAGAACCAAGGCTTTGTTCTCAAGGCTTACTTTTGAAAAAAATTAGCCTCCCCTCACACCGTGCGTGATAAAACCTTTTCAGTAAAAAGAAAAGGGAAATTATTACTTTAAAAAGTTTGCCCACAAGGTTTTTAAAAAATGAAATTATCTATGTTTTTGTTTAATCCACTTAACGTGAATATTTCATCAATTGGTTCTTTTAAAATTATTAGGGTGATAGTGGTTAGTAACATTATATAAGTTCCAAGTGTACGATTCTATAATGCATCATCTGTATATGCTATTGTGTGCTCACTACCCAACATCTAGTCTCCTTTCATCACCATGTTTGACCCCCTTTACCTTCTTCAATCTCCCACCACTCCACTTCCCTTCTGGTCACCACCATACTGTTGTCTGTGTCAGTGAATTTGTTTGTTCTTCTGTTGCTTTCTGTTTTATATCCTACATGTGAGCGAAATCATATGGTTCTTGCCCTTTTTCATCTGACTATTTCCCTTAGCATGATAACTGTCAAGATCTACCCACATTGTCCCAAATGTCAGCATTTCACCCTTTCTTAAAGCTGAGTCATATTCCATTGTATGTATCTTTATCCAGTCATCCATCAACGGATACTTATGATTTTTCCATGTCTTAGATACCATGAATAATACTGCAATGAACATAGGGGTACATGTATCTGAATGAATACATGTTTTCAAAATTTCCAGTTATATACCCAGAAGAACAGATTGCTGGGTAATATTGGTAGTTAGATCTATTCTTAATTTTTTGAGGAACCTTCATACTCTTTTCTATAGTGGCTGTAACATTTTACACTCTCACCAGCAGTGTATGAGGGTTCCTTTTCTCCACATCCTCTCCAATACTTATTTCTTGTCTTATTGATAACAACCATTCTAACAGGTGTGAGTTACTATCTCATTGTGGTTTTGATTTACATTTTCTTTATAGCTAGTGAAGTTGACCATGTTTTCATATATTTGTTGGGCATTTGAGAAAAGTGTCTGTTTTAGGTCCTTTGCCCACTTTTAAAATCGGATTGTTTTTTTGTTGTTGAGTTGTATGAGTTCTTTATATAATTTGGATATTAGCTAGCCCCTAATAGGAAGTATTATTTGCAAATATTTTCTCCCATTTAGTTGGTTGCCTTTTTGTTTATTGATGGTTTCTTTTGTTTTGTTGATGGTTTCTTTTGTTTTGTTGATGGTTTCTTTCTTTTGCATATAGTTCCATTTATTTATTTTTACTTTTACTTTCCTGCCTTTGGTGTCAAATTTCTATATCCTCTGAGACCAAGGTCCATAAGTTTAGTACCTTTATTTTCTTCTATGTATTTTATTGTTTTAGGTCTTTGATCCATTTTGAGTTAATTTTTGTGTATGGTGTCAAATAGAAGTCTAGTTTCATTTTTTTTAATGTGGCTTTTCAATTTTCCCACCATTTATTGAAGAGGCTTTCTTTTTTCCATTGTATGTTTTTGGCTTCTTTATAAAAAATTAGTTGCCCATAAATATGGGCATATTTCTGGGCTCTAGGTTCTGTCTCATTGGTCTGTTTTTCTACCAGTATGATACTGTTTTGATTATTGCAACTTTGTAGTATAATTTGAAGTCTGGGAGTCTGATGCCTCCAGCTTTGTTGCCCCCTCCTCTCCGCCCCCCACCCCCCCAGCACCAGATTGCTTTGGCTATCCAGTCAGTGTTTTGTGTGGTTCCATACAAATTTTATGATTTTATTGTATATCTTTTAAAAATACCATTGGGATTTTTATGAGGAATGCTTAAATATGTAGATTGAGTTTGGTAATATGGCCATTTAAACAATGTTAATTCTTCCAATCCAAGAACATGGAATATCTTCCCATTTCTTTGTGTCTTTTTCGATTTCTTTCCCCCCAACAATGTCTTGTAGTTTTTCAGTGTACAGGCCCTTTACTCTCTTTGTTTAGTTTATTCCTAGGCATTTTATCGTTTTTGTTAAAAGTGTAAATGGGATTGTTGTCTTTATTTCCCTTTCTCATATTTGTTGTTAGTATATAGGAACACAATGGATTTGGTATATTGATTTTGCATCCTGCAACTTTACTGTATTTGTTTATTGTTTCTAGTAGTCTTTTGGTGGAGTCCTTAGGGTTTTCTATATGAAGAATCATGTCATCTTGTAAAAGGTGACAATTTTACTTCTTCATTCCCAATTTGGATACCTTTTATTTCTTTCTCTTGCCTGATTGCTCTGGCTAGGACTTGCAGTGCTGTGTTGAATAACAGTGAGGAGAGTGAGCACTTTGTCTTTTTCCTGATCTCAGAGGACAAGCTTTCAGTTTTTTGCCATTGAGTGTATTAAGTGAGGGTTTATCATATATGGCTTTTATTATATTGAGGTACTTTCCTTTTATACCCATTTTATTGAGTGTTTTCATCATAAATAGATGTTGTCATCTGTCAAATGATTTTCTGCATTTTTTATATGATCATATGATTTTGTTATCTTTTATTTTGTTAATGTGTAGCACATGGATCAATTTGCATACGTTGAACCATCCTTGTGCCCCTGGTTGAACCACACTTAATTGTGATTTATTTTTTTTTAATGTATTGCTGTATTTGATATGATATATTCATCAGAGATATTGGTCTGCAATTTTCTTTTATTGAGTTGTCCTGCCAGGTTTTGGTATGAGGGTAATGTTGGCCTCATAAAATGAGTTAGAAGTATTGCGTCTCTTTAATTATTTGGAAGAGTTTGAGAAGGATAGGTATTAAATCTTCTTTGACTGTTTGGTAGAATTCACTAGTGAAGCCACATGGTCTTGGACCATTAAGGGACGCCTTAATGACTGTTTCCATTTCTTTACTGTTGATTGGTCTGTTTAGGTTTTCCAGTTCTTCATGGTTCAGTCTAGGAACGTTATATATTTCTAAGAACTTGTCCATTTCTTCTAGGTTATCAAATTTGGTGGCATATAGCCTTCCATAGTATTCTTGTATAGTCCTTTTTATTTCTGTGGTGTCTGTTGTAACTTCTCTTTTTTATTTCTGATTTTGTTTATTTAAGTCTTTTCTCTTTTTTTCCTTAGTCTAGCTAGAGTTTTTCAATTTTATTAATATTTGCAAAGAAACAGCTTGAGAAATGAAGGGGGAAGTGAATGGTCTAGACGAGGCTTTTCCTTATGTAGATATATTGAGTTCATTTACTTATACAAACATGAAAGAATGCAGAGCTAAGCAAATTAAGGAATGTAATATGTTCTGTATTTCTCAAGTAATTAGCTAATAGAGTTAGTTTTGCCTGCTTGTATTGACATAATTTAATTAGTACTAAAACTATTGGTGACTGATTTTCCTGTTTCAATAATTCTAGATTTTTTTTCCCCTTGGGCCCTCATTTTTTAGTATCTGGCTCATATAAAAAATAAATTCACCTTCTAAAATCAAGGAACCATTAGGAAAAATGTAAAAATTTTAATAAAGAAAAATAAAAGTAGTTTTCCTCTATCTGTGCCTTATTGAGCATGATCATTTTCACTGTGTTTTCCAGGTGTACCAGGTGTCAAAGAAGAACGTTTTAAAGAAGGAATGACAGTAAAGCACTGTGCATTGTCCCTTGTGGGAGAACCCATCATGTACCCAGAAATCAACAGGTTTTTGAAGCTACTCCATGAGTGTAAAATCTCCAGTTTCCTGGTCACAAATGCACAATTCCCTGTGGAAATCAGGTGAGTGACCCAGCTTATTACGATACGCTGCTTGAACCTGTAAACAGATGCTTAGGTTGTTTCCTTGTCTTGGCTGTTGTGAATAATGCTGTCTTGAAGTTTGGGGTGCATATATCTCTTGAAGATACTGATTTCATTTCCTTTGGATATATACCCCAAAGTGGGATTGCTGGATCATATGGTAGTTCTATTTTTAATTTTTTGAAGATCTTATATATTTTGGATATTGATTTGCAAATATTTTTTCCCATTCTGTAGGTTTCCTTTTCATTTTGTTGATTATGTCTTTTGTTGTGCAGAAGCTTTTTAGTTTGATATGGTTCCACTTATTTATTTTTGCCTTGGTTGCTTGCACTTTTGGTGTCATATCCAAAACATTGTTGCCAAGACCAAAATGTCAAGCTTTTACCCTGTGTTTTCTTCTAGGACTTTTACAGTTTCAGGTATTATATTTAAGTTTTTCATTCATTTTGACTTAATTTTTCTGAGTGGTGTAATATAGGGGTCCAATATAATTTTTTCCCCCATGTGAATATTCAGTTGTCCCAGCATCATTTATGGAAGAGACTGTCCTTTCCACATTGAGAATTCTTGGCTCCCTTGTCAAATATGAGTTGACCATATATGGTGGGTTTATTTTTTGGACTCTCGATTCCTTTCATAAACATATGTGGGTGTTTGTTTGTTTTTGTTTTTAATGCCAGTATCCTATTGTTTTGCATACTATAGCTTTGTAGTATAGTTTGAAATCAGGAAGTATAATGCCTCCAGCTTTGTTCTTTCTCAGGATTACTTTGGCTATTCAACATCTTTTATAGTTCTATATGAATTTTAAGATTGTTCTTTCTATTTCTGTAAAAAGTTGCCATTGGAATTTTGATAGGGATTTTAATGAATCTATAGATGGCTTTGGGTATTATGGACATTTTAACGATATTAATTTTTCTGATCTGTGAACATGGAATATCTTCCCATCTATTTATGTCTTCAATTTCTTTCATCAATGTTGAGACGTTCTTGAAACTAAAATACTGACATACTTTTTAAGGCCCCATTTCTGGAGGCTGATTCAGTCTTGGGAGAGGCCCAAGAACTTGCATTTTCATGTGCTTCCTTTTTTAAAAAAAAAATATTTATTTATTTATTTATTTATCCTCACCTGAGGATATTTTTCCCATTGCTTTTCAGAGAGACTGGAAGGGAGGGAGGGGAGGGGGAGAGAGAGAGAGAGAGAGAGAGAGAGAGAGAGAGAGAGAGAGAGAAACAGAAACATCCATGTGAGAGAGACACATCGACTGGTTGCTTCCTGCACATGCCCCCACAGGAGGCAGGAGCGAATCCGCATCCCAGGTAATTACCCTTGACTGGGAATTGAACCCAAGACCCTTTGGTGTGCAGGCCAACACTCTCATCATTGAGCCACACTGGCCAGGGCTCCATGTGCTGCTGATCCAGCTGGCCCTGAGCACACTTAGAGATATACTGCTGTGAGGCTTGAAATATTACTTTTGGGTTTCTGTGATGAGAGGCTCGAGCTGCACTGCCTATGATCTGGCCATTTTGATGGAGGCCTTGTGGCACAGGGCTAGGAACACAGGCTCTGGAGTACTTCTAGGCTTGAATCTTGTTGAAATTATTAAATACAAGATTATCCACATCTTTTTTGTGGATCCTTGAACAAGCTCCTTAATCTCTTTGAACCTTAGTTTCATCATCTCTAAAATGGGCATAAGTAGCAAGTACCTTGTTTATTATGAGGATTCAATGAACTGAACAAGAAAGGTCAAACATAGCACAGTGCACTCAGTACATGATGAGTGCTCAGTAAATCTTCTCCTTCTCTCTTCCTCCCAAATTATTTGGCCTGATGTGACAGCTCCCGATTGTCTTAGGGATTCTGGTATTGAAAGTTTAGGCCATTTTTGGATTTTTTTTTTTTGTCCAATAGGGTCAACAAACTTACTATTTAATCCACTTGACTTCTTACAGACATAAATTCCTCTCCCTTTTTTCCTTTCTGTAGAAATTAGTAGGCCTACATCTCTATAGGAAAAAAAAAGGGAGAGGGATTTTTATGTTCAATTACAATGCATTTCATATATGATCATTCTCAACTCGGATTTAAAATTAACAGGATGAAGAGTCATCACAATAATCATATCACAGTTCATTGGGCATTATCACTGGGTATTGGGCTTAGGATTGTATTGATATTAGTCCTTTTTATTGTTCTCAGCAGCAATGTGAGAGTCTCAGGCACAGCAATTATTTTGATGATTTTAAGGATAAAACATGTTTTGCTTTTGGGGAATTAAAATGATGCTGTCTCTGTATAGAATGGACAAATGACCATGTTGGGAGCCCAATTCCTTTCCTGGGAATAGAGGCCCATACCAGGCAAACATTAGATCCCTGAGTTCAGAAAAATTTTCCAACGTACTTTTACTGCCTTTGAATAAGTTATAATTCCCAGGGACGTTCCCTCTTCTCCATTCTTTCTCTGCTTCCTGGCAAGAAATCTGTAGACTTCCTTCATTATAGCACCTCAGACATTTAGTATTGATAAAGTCCCTTATTGGTACTGTCAGTGTCCAGGGCTTCCTTTTTTTGCAAATGATGGAGGTTTGTAAAATAACCATGGCCTTTGGAATTTACTGTTCATAATCTTAAGTAGTTATGGAGGCATAGTGAAGAGGTCAGGCCAGTTCCTACTTTGCATCAGACAGCTTTATAACAAAGTCTCATAAGTATCAGATAATGATAACCCAATAGTATCCATTAAAATAGTCTTCTTTATTTTTATTTTTTGTGGAACATAAAGTACCATTAAGGTAGCATAGCTTATTTGTTGTTAAAGAGGTGCCAGCAAAATAGTGATGAGACAGGATGCTGCCATTACATATGCTATTGTTTCGCATTTTTAGTAATTGATATCTTGGCTCATTAGTGACACATTCCTGAACTTTTAAGGATTCCCTTTGTATCTCAATGCTGAAGAGGGATTAAAGCAATGAGAGTCTGCCAATATTTTAATCACTTCTTTCCTAACTTTGCTCAGAGCTTCTCCACCTTTAATGAGACCTTTCTGATTTTTCCATATATCAATAAGCCAGATCATTGCAATCATTTGTTTGGCCTACATGCCCTTAAATGTTCTGTCAGCTGAAGTCAACTAAAAGGTAGCTTTCAGTGTCTGCCTATATGGCTGGATAAAAAGAAAAATATAGTTTCTGTCCTTCAAGGTCTTATACTCAAAGATTGATAAGGCTGGTACTGATAGACATAAAAAGCACATAAACCATTTTGATGGTGAATTTTATGGCATGTGAATTATATTTCAGTTTTTAAAAATGCATAGATTTTGAAACAAAATGCGTAAGTAACATTCTAGTGGTAAATACAAATTGTAGAATAGTAATAGAAAATTAATAGTGGAAGGATTTGGTCATAGGATTATTAAGGGGGGATTTCCTTCTTTCTAGGTCTAAATTTATTGAAGAGAATGAATTATGAGGCCCATTTGAAGAGAGAACAGAAAGACTTTGGAAAAAATACAATCTGGGCTTAAAACAAAACTGGCAAGAAATCTAGTAGATAAGAATGACATTATGAAATGAATGAGTCCTTTGTAAGTGCTTGGTTGCTGTCCTAGCTCTGCATTGCTTAAAGCTCCCGGAATAGTCATTGGGAATAGTCATTGCCCACGCAAGCTTGGCTTTGAACCCAATTCTGCCCTTAGGCATAGGTGAGGCATTGTGTGGCTTTTTCTGCCCTTTAAAGAAGGCTTGGGCTTTTGGGGTTGTTTCTTGTTTCAATTGATGATGGAAAGTGGTCCATCAGCACAGACCCCACATGGTTGTGAGATTTCAACTGTGTAAGCTTTGACTAAGCCAGATCTTGTTTTGTGTACTTTCCACTAATACCTAGTGTTTGAAGAGGGGCCGGTTTTAATTGAATGTTTTCAGTTTATTAGGGATGGTGACCAGTCATTTAAAAAAAAATACTCAACATCCCATTCTATCACATGATTAAAATCTTTGTTTCAGTCTTCTGGGAGAAGTAGAAGCCTCTAGACCAGGGGTGGGCAAACTTTTTGACTCGAGGGCCACAATGGGTTCTTAAACTGGACTGGAGGGCCGGAACAAAAGCATGGATGGAGTGTTTGTGTGAACTAATATAAATTCAAAGTAAACATCATTACATAAAAGGGTACGGTCTTTTTTTTTTTTTAGTTTTATTCATTTCAAACAGGCCGGATCCAGCCCACGGGCCGTAGTTTGCCCACGGCTGCTCTAGACCCAGTGAAATGTTTAATAGCCACATCTATTACAGATTGTAATTTTACATCATGAAAGCCTGAAATAGGCATAACACTATTTTTTTATTGTTGTGTTTATTGTTTTTATTTTTAAACTACCAAGGAATCTCAAACCGGTTACCCAGCTATACGTCAGCGTGGATGCCAGCACCAAAGACAGCCTGAAGAAAATTGACCGCCCACTCTTCAAGGACTTCTGGCAAAGATTCCTGGACAGTTTGAAAGCCTTGGCAGCAAAGGTAAAAATTATGACATCTTTAAAAGAAAATAAAATGAAGGAGGTTTTTTTCCTTTTTTGTTAAAAAAAAAAAGACTAAATAAAATCTTCAACTTTTATTGTTTAACAAATATTTGAGTTCTTAAGTTTGTAATATATATGTCCTTTATGTATTGGGGGAGAGAGTAGCAGTTCACAGCAACCCAAAGAAGAGGTGTCAGCATATAGTATATGTTTGGTTTTTTAAAAAATATATTTTTATTGATTTCAGAGAGGAAGGGAGAGAGAGAGAGAGATAGAAACATCAATGATGAGAGAGAATCATTGACTGGCTGCCTCCTGCATGCCCCTTAATGGGGATCAAGCTCGCAACCTGGGCATGTGCTCTTGGCCAGAATTGAACTCGGACCTTTCAGTCCGCAGGCCGACGCTCTATCAATTGAGCCAAACTGGCTAGGGTAGCATATAGTATATGTTTAAATATGAAGTTATTTTTCCTGAATTTGTAGAACTAAGTTTCCTATCTGATCAGGATCTCAACCTCAGAATATCCAATTGTGATGTCTTTTCCTACAGACATTTGGCCCTTCTTACGTGTTGTGTTCTCCTATCATGTACTTACTTTCCTATTTGTTTAGACCTTAAGTAAACTTCTGGTACTTCTTTTCCATTAACCTCACATCTCAGTAGTTTGTATTTTCTGTTAGTTCTACTTCTTTGGTTCGATCCTGCAGTTTGTCATACTGTACTAAAATCTGACTGAAAGTAAGAATTACTGTTGAGGCTTAAAAAAATTAAAATTTTCTGTTTCTACTAGGATTTGATAATCTGCATTTCAAACAACTCAGGTGACTCAATATGCAGCCAGTTATGGGAGTCACTGACCCAGAAAACCTTCCTTTCTCTCCTCTGCCCAGCATGCATTTCCAGAGGCATTGTTCATGACATTCCCCAGGAGTGCTGCACTTCCCTGCTTATGTTGTCATCCCTGAGAATGTGCCCAGCAGTCTTTCAGAGCCTAGAATGTTCTTTCTTTCCAATACTTTGATTTGTAGACATTTTTGCAACCTTCAAGTCTCAGCTTCATTACTACCTCTACCATGTGAAGCCTTTTCCAGTTGCAATTAACTGTCCCTTTCTCTCTTCCTGAGTTTTATATCTATAAAAGCACTTCATTTCTTCTGTTTTATTCTGTCTTCTTTCCCCAACTAGATGAGTTACTCATGTCTGAGTCCCACATGATGTCTAACACAGCGTATTTTATGGTATTTAAGAAATGTTTTTTAAATGAGCGAATTTGTGGAAACTCACCAGAGCTGATTAAATTTTTTTTCCAATTTTATGCTGGAGAATTTAAGTCAATGCTTTTTTTGGGCAATTAATAGTGACATTATTTAAGAAATGCAAAATTGGCATTACTTTGGTTTCTAATCTGTCTTAGGTTATTTATAAAGCTAGTAGTTCTGGTGCTTCTTGGGTTCCTAAAATTTCTGTCCTTGGACTTCACCTTCAGCCATATTCTCTTCACTTGTTGCTGAGACAAACAAGTAGGAGATACATAGCATATAAGTCAGAATGGATTTAGGTGGGAGTAAACAGCAGGAGCTGGCAATGTCAGACACATCTAAGACTGTTATTTAACTGTATTCTGAGTCAGTGTTGGAAGGTGAGGAGGAGGCATTAGTAGGTAAAATGGCTTAATAGCTTGTTTTTTCTGCTTTGGCCATATTTCCCACAAAGTGAATTCTTTTCCTGAAGTTATAAGCCTTTATATGTCAACTCAAGTGCTCTGGGTTGACTCACTGATAGTAAGAAATAATTTGAAATTTTACAGTATTTTCTAACCTATGAGCTTCTTATATATTATTATTGTTTCTATGTAATTTAGGCTATTTAAACTTCCTGCAGATTAGGGCATTTTGTAACAATTAAGAGTTTATATTTCTCATACTTGTATTATTTTTGTTGTCATTTAAGAAAGATTTATGTCAGGAAGTTGCTCTTTAAATGAAAAGTTGTCTTGAAATTAGTTTGTGATGTTACTGCCTTTTTAAAAAAATATATTTTTTATTGATTTCAGAGAGGGAGGGAGAGGGAGAGGGAGAGATAGAAACATCAATAAGAGAGAATCATTGATTGGCTGCCTCCTACATGCCGCCTACTGGGGATTAAACCTGCAACCCGAGCATGTGCCCTGACCGGGAATTGAACCGTGACCTCCTGGTTCATAGGTCAACGCTCAGCCACTAAGCCACATCGGCTGGGCTGTTATTGCCTTTTGAATATTTGATATTATTGGTATAGTACAGTGGTCGGCAAACTGCAGCTCGCGAGCCACATGCGGCTCTTTGGCCCCTTGATTGTGGCTCTTCCACAAAATACCACGTGCGGGCGCACATGTACAGTGCGATTGAAACTTCATGGCCCATGCGCAGAAGTCGCAGAAGTTGGTATTTTGTGGAAGAGCCACACTCAAGGGGCCAAAGAGCCGCATGTGGCTCGGTAGCCGTAGTTTGCCGACCACTGGTATAGTAGATACTATCACAAAAGATCTGTTTTACTGTTGTTTAACACTTAAAAATAAAACTTGTATGCTGTAACTATATTAGGTAGGTCAAACATATTACTAATATAATCTGATATTTCATTTTTTTTTAAAAGTGCTGTTCCAGATATTTTAATTAGAACATCTATACTGTTTTGTTACTTGTTTAGTCGTTTTGTATACCTGAGCAAGGAAAGGCATTTGAAGAAAATTTCTTGAACTTTATAAAGAAAGAATTTTGATTTGTCTCAAGTGTATTTATGAGCTAGTGCAACCCAAAGTAGAAGGTAGCATTTTTTGTGTTTTTACTCGTAGAAAATATGATGTTTATTTTTCCAGATCTTTATCCTTTGTCAAAATGTTTCTTTTCAAATATGAGGCCAGAAATCTATTGGTACTTGAGTATGTGGGGCTAAAAAGCAATTCCTTCTAGATAACAGCAAAAAAATGTGTTAGCTTTAATTTCCGTTCACAACAGCTATTTGTCATACAGTTCTGTTTTTAAAAAAGAGAAATCCATCTTGTACAAGACAACACTGCCTACCTTTGCCAGTAGACTTTTATCAGCAGTGTGACCAGATGTGTTTCTGTTGGCCCATTATTAGGCCAAATTGAAGATCTAGTAGGAAATTGAAGTAATTAATCCTTTTTCATGTTTAAGCAATAAAATCAATATTCTTGAAATCTAATTTTTGAAAATAAAAAAGACAAAAATAATTCCCTGTCTTATACACGCTTGGATATCAAAACTGAACATTAGCCCTCTTTCTACAGATGTGAGCATGCTCTGACCTGACATTATTGGAGTAACGTGCCATTGTTGTACATTAATGAGATTGCTCTGTATCTAATATTTCAATAGACCAATGTATCCATGTGGCCCACAATTTTCAGATTAAAAAAACATTTACTATTAAACCTTATTATAAAAATATCTGTATATATAAAAGGCTAATATGCTAAATGTCCGACCATTCGACCATTCTACCGGTAGCTATGACACGCACTGACCACCAGGGCCAGACGCTCAAAGCACAGGCATAGGAACATGGAACAGACTGATGAATCTCAGGGGGAAGGGGGTGGAGAGCAGGAAGAGATTAACCAAAGATCTGATATGCATACTAGAGGCCCGGTGCATGGATTCGTGCACCAGTGGGGTCCCTCAGCCTGGCCTGCAGGGATCGGGCCGAATCCATGCACCAGGCCTCCGACATTCCCCGAGGGGTCCTGTATTGTGAGGGGGTGCAGGCCAGCTCGAGGGACCCCACTGTTGCATGAATTCATGCACCAGGCCTCTAGTTCTGATTATAAAAATATTACATGTTCATTATAGAAACTTTGGGGAAGTAAAGAGAAATGTAAAGGAGCAAGGAAAGAAATTACCTATAATTCAAGGACCTTGAGATGTTTTGAAGTACTATTTAATCCTTTTTTGGAGGTAATGAGGACAGGAGTGCTTTCTTACATATGATTCAATTTTATATGCTTCTTATTTTTGTTAATGTTGGGACATAAGCATTTTATCATGCTATTAAAATTTCTCCATGACCTTCATGTTAAAGATAGCTTAGTCTTTCATCTTAGTCACTGTGAGATGTGTGTGTGTGTGTGTGTGTGTGTGTGCCCCCCTGGTTCCTAACACAGAGCCAGTAAGACCCTTGTAAATTCCTAAGTGATGAGAGTACCAGGAGCATCATTTGTTTCAATGAGATAGCTCTGGGTGGGCTCCTATATGGTTGTTGGATGAGGATCAGTCACCAGAAAGACCAAGCCAAGATTAGAAGCTTGAAATTTTCAGTCTCCCCTTCCCCACTTCTCTAGAGAGAGGAGAGTGGTTGGAAATTTAAGTTAATGATCCATCATGCCTACATGGTGAAGTCTCCATAAAACTCCCAAGGATTCAGGCAGCTTCTGGGCTGCTGAACATACAGAGGTGCTGGGAAGGGGCATGGAAGCTCCTCGGTCCTTGCCACATATATACCTTGCCCTACACATCTCATCCATCTGGATGTTAATCTGTACCGTTTATCATATTCTTTTATAATAAACTGATAGTAAGTAAACTGTTAACTTGAATTCTGTGAGCCACTCTAGCAAATTAATTGAAGCCAAGGTGGGGATTGTGGGAACCTCCAGCTGAACAGCTTCTGCACAGGTGATAACCTGGACTTGTAATTGTCATCTAAAGTGCGGTGGGAGCAGTCTTGTGGACTGAGTCCTTAACCTGTGGGATCTGACACTGTCTCCAGATAGTGCCAGGATTGAGTTAAATGGTAGGATACCCAGTGGGTGTCACACAATTGCTTGGTGTGGGAAAAGCCCCCACACAACTAGGTTCAGAAGTGTTGTGAATGTGATAGCAGTGCGAGAGTAAAGGAGAAACACAGGAGAGAAGGCGAGTTTTTTCCTACTCATTAGCTTCACAGAATCATCAGAGACCTAGGTTCCTGTCTTTCTCCTGACAGTCAACATAT